ATTTCAAACTCCGATTAGGCGGAGTTTGAATTTTGTCAATTTTGTGAGAATTTGTTTCCTATAAGTCACGTGACTTCATCGCTTTGTTAGAGTTTGAAATTCCTCCGATTTCGCAGGAATGCGAAATCAGAAGTCACATGACTTCGTGTCATACGATCGGAGTTTAAATTTTCTATTGCCTCTTCTATTTTTTCTTTCGCTCTTCTTTATTCTTTCTTATCGTCACTCTCTCTTTCTTTCCTCTTTGCTCCCTCCCCCTCTCTTTTTCCACTCTCCTCTTTCTTTCTCTCTCCCCACCCCACCCCACTACCCCACACCAACTCTCACACCTCTCCGTCCCACCCCTCTCTCTCACTCATCCTCTCTCCGTCCCTCTTTCTCTCTCTTATTAAAAAAAATTTTTCTTTTTTTATCTTCGCCGTCACAACTCTATTATTTGACACTTCGTGTCACTAATTATTTTTACTGACGTTTTTTGCCTGCTTCGCAGGCAAAAAAGGCAAAAAACGTCAGCAAAATAAATTAGTGACACGGAACTGCCAAATAGTAGAGTGTCAACAACGTTGAGACGTTGATTTTTTTGAGCAACTTTAATTAAACCGTAAATATCGATTAATTTGGTGATGTATATTGCTATGATTATTGATCATACCTGATACTATATTTTTTAAAAATTAATTTTGGTAACCAATTATAATTTACTGAAAGTATATAGCGCTGATTATAATACTTTGTCTTATTCAAAAAATCCCAGATTAGCTTGGTTATGAATCCATCAGTAAAGACTTAATGCCGGCCAAATTTATGATATAAATAATATTAACGGTTTTGAGTTAGATTCGTTAATAATATAATTAAAATAGACGTCATTATCCTTGTTTTAAACTAAATTATTATTATTTTTTTTGGGTTTGAAAATTTTGGGTCGACAGGTAATGTAAAACGAAAACTTAACTTTATGTAGTCTAAAAAATTTACCATTTGTTTCGCATAATGCAGAGATCTCTAGAAGAACCTTGATGACAATTATTGACTTACCATTATCGGAGAATTGATTAACTCAAATTTTTATAGAACTAAAAAAAATAATAATAATATAATAATTGAGAAAAAACGGTAAAAAAACCTAATAATTTATTATATGTGATGACGACAATAATAGTTTCATCAGAAGAATTAACTGCTTGATATGAATGTTATTCCCTAGGTCACCAAAACGAACCTCCACCAATAAATCATGTTCTTTTTTAGATATATACGTAGTCGATATTCTAAATGTATAATAAATTATCTTTTTCTAACTTGGTGCTGTAATTCGTTTTCGACAACGGAAGAACTAATAAGATCTTTGGCTTGGACTATTATGTATCGTTTATTAATTCCCATCAATTCAGAATCGACATGTTCAATTTTGAATTTCCATCAACAACAAATAACCTATATCATTAATTGATGTAATAATGAAAGAAGCCAATTGTTTAATAAAGAAAATTATTAGTATAGTTTTAGTGTTAAAGAAATAAATAGTATGTAATAAAAGGCAGTATATAACGCCTCGAGTAGAGATTCGAATAAGTTTGATTTTCTAAGTTTCCACCCACAAGTTTTATTGGACGCTTAGAAATCCTGCCACTAAATCGTATAAGAAAAAGAAAAAGATATAAAACGAATTAATAACGAATTCTGAACTGATATCATGAACGAAAAAGCAACCAAATATGAAAAAAACCCGCATTAATTGTAGGCGGAAAGTTGCGTAATCTACTTTGTCAAAAAAGAGATAACATTTTCATATATGAGCGCTTTCAAGGGAAAAGGGCACTTTAGGCTTTTTTAAAATTTTTTGATCAAGGATATTTCAGCAACTACTTGATCAAATTTAATGTAAATTTTTTTATTCGAATTTACAAATTTGTAGAATTCAAATAAAATAAAAAAACTTTCATCAAATTTGATCAAGTAGTAGTTGAGATATCCTTGGTCAAAAATATTTTAAAAAAGCTTAAATTGCACTCATCCAATTAGAGGTGGAAAGAAATTAGGCTTCACAATAAGTTTTCCCCATCACGATATGTTCAACATTTACCAACGTCAACAATTAATTCCGCTTTATAAAATTCTAGCTTGAAGTGGCTTCCTCGTAATAAGAACCCGCTGAGCTTTCTTCTCCTGAAATTTATTACTGTATGTCACATGAGGGACGATAACCTGATGCAATTGAATGTGATAAAATTTGATGGGGTAATGCGAATAATAGTTAGGTAATGCAAGTGAAAGCAATCAGTATGTAAAAGAGAAAATTCAATTTTCGTGCAAGTTCCTTTCTAAATAAAGAATCGCTTATTTGTTTGTCCGATTTCGTCGTTATCCTTATTTCTAATAAACAAATAAATAAGTGACATTCAATTATTCTCTGAATGTCTTACATTATACTAATTAACACCGCGACATTGTGCCATACTACCTGTCCATTGGAACGTTTCAGGGTACATCTTTCTCTTTCTACCCACCAGTCTCATTTCTAGACTTTTCCTGGTTTTACTCACCTTTAATAACCTAGGGACATTTTCTTGCTTCTGGTCCGTTTCCGATAAGCCCATTCGACAAAAGATGAACCTCAACGCCTCTATATACTTTCCGCAAAAACTACTCGTCCCAAATCCAATTTTATTATATTTGAGATTGGGATTTTAAGAGTTTATAGTTTGTGCGGTTTGTGTACGCCTCTAACGACAATCGTGTAAGATTTGACTCCAGGCTCTCTTGCACTGTATCAGCACGTCATTTGACACAACTACTGATCTGATCCTTAATTACGGCTGACATTTTGATAATTTAATTTAGGATGTTCGCACAAAAAGCCAAATCGGGCTAGCAGAAAAAAAAAACAGAAATTATTTAATCAGACTCTTCTTAAATATCTCTAACGATTACTAATCGAAATTACCTACTACGATATTGCTTCACAATTTCGCCGACAAATTCCACAATCACGTAATAACTTTTTTAGAGTTAGAAGTTAGCAGGTTTTATTCTTATGCAAATTTCTGAGAAACAATGAAAGTTTTGTATTTCATGACAATACTACGTTACGCAAGCTCATCTGTCATAACATGTGATCGTGAAAATTTTATTGCAAATCCGATATATATTGGGCAACTAATTGTTTATCTTTCTTTCGCGTTCAGTTCTCTACAAAGTTCAGAATACATATTCCTACTAAATTTTTTATTAAAAAAACGTCGTCTATAAAGTAATTATCAAAAAAATCCCATATCTAAAATACTTTGAGTTCGTCCACTACGTCACTACGTTTCAATGTGATTGAATTACAAATACGCGAAGAAAGATAAAAGCCTACCAAGTATTCTATAAAACTTTGTCCATGGTCTAAGCAAGTCGAAGCAAATTCGTAACGTTGCAAAATCACTATTAAATTCTTGAAAAAAGGAGAGGGAAAAATTTGAACTATTGCAACGAAAAGAAAACAAGAAATGAATGCTAAATATACAAAGTAACAAGTCTATATGGTATACAGAGAAATTTCTCATATCTGCTACCTCAATAATTTGTCTGATAGTAAATTTTTCTATTTAATTTTTCTATAAAGGCCTATTACAAAAGAAGCTAACGACCTATAGAGAAGTGTCGAAGCCTTGGGCGATGCAACTAACACTCTGGGGAAGAGACGAAGAAATTATGAGACAGGTACTTCATCAAAAAGAATAAACAAGCAAAATGTCAATCAATCTGTGATAATATGCAACAAACTTATAAAACCTTTTCAAAGATCTTTCGGTGCTCCTTCAACAACGACTTGCCTGTCTCAGTTCAGATTAAAGGCAAAAGTTTTCAGAAGTTTATTTATATGAATAAAGAAGACTGTGAAAGCCAACTAGCTTCTCACATAAGTTATATGTTAAACGAAGTAATACCATGGAGGTATGTATAACACAATTAACAAGGTTTCGACTTTCGATCTCGAGGTTTCGTCTAACAACTATACTTGTAATAGTAACAGGTCTAACCTAGAGTCAACCGCAAAAGATTACTATTGCCTAGACTTCATATACCAAATAAGGGGTGCTCTTGTTCTAAAAGAAGAAAAAAAGATAGACAAAGAAAATCTTGGCTTAGCTTTGGAAGACTTGGAAAATAAATTTAGTAGAATAAACCCTGCGTCTTTGGTGCAATCAACTTTATAATTTGTTATAGAACTGCCGGACATCGGCTACGCTTTTATGCGATTGATGGGGTGCAGAAAATTAATATAACCAGAATTATTGTAACAATAAAATCTAACTTGGTGTAATATTGTACTGTATATGTATCTTTTATTCTTTTTTTTTACACTTGGCTACACCAATAAAATCAACTTTTAGCAGAATCTAAATACCTTTTTTATGTAACTATGCCTATACTAGAATAGCTTGATCTTGTACGCACATATCTAGCTGCTAGTACAGTATATATATCAGATATTAAAATGTACGTATCAAAATTAATATAGGAATTTATTCTAGAAAGTTCATTAATACTTTGTCGATCAATGATACTTGCACGTGAGAATAACCAATTACATGAATGTTGTCTGCATGTAAAAAATCACATTTACACTCAAGTCGGGTATAACAAAACATGCACATTTACGTGTTTGTGTGATATAAATTCAATATTACTGTATTGGATATTTTTTAAACAATGTACTGTTAAATTTAAATCTAGAATCATTATTATAACTCATGGAAATACACAACGATAAAATTTACTCTATAAAAAAGCTGCATATGAATGCTAAAAAGGACAAGGCATATTTGCTTTTTCTAACACTTTAATCGACGTCTAGAGCTAGTTAAACGCATCATAGGAAATCAAATATTATTCAATTATCATAAAAAAGTGGTAGATATGCTTATTGATTATATTCATTCTGGCAAAATTATCTTTCATATGTTTCATTTGTTCTGGTTAATACACGAGGTTCAGCAATATAAGTTTCTTTAGTTGAGGTCTACTGATTTTGAGTTTATGAAAGAATGCTGTGGCCTGAATGGATACTAAAATATGATTCAGTTAAAAAGTTAAGAACTCAAATATTCATTTAATTTTCGTTAACCAAATTTTATTTATGTATGTAAATTAATTAGTGCTAATGTTTTTTTTTTATCAAAAATTTTTACGCATTAGTGAAGAATTATATGGAGTCAATAAAAATCAAGCAAATTTTTTATAATAAAAAATTTTTATAACTTTAAACAAGAATAACCTAACAAAAACTTGACCAAATTTAATTAAATTTGATTAAGTTTTCCTTGTTTTTTTAAAAAACTTTATTAAAAAATTTTTGCTTGACTTCTATTGACTCAACCCCATATAAAGAAATTAGTTTAGAAGGCCTCGAACCACATCATATACGATGTCAAATTATCTACGATAATGTATATAGATTAAGCTATCGCCGGGAAGATTGAAAATCAAGGAACCTAGTGATATCTTCGTGATAATCACGTCACATGATTAAGTGTTTGGTCCACGTTAGGGTTAGTGTTAGGGTTAGGTGATAGGTTAGTTTAGGCTAATTTGTTTAGTGCTAGTACGTTAGAGTTAGGGTTAGGGTTAGGTGATAGGTTAGTTTAGGCTAATTTGTTTAGTGCTAGTAAACAAATGACGTAGTTGCATGATTTCATGTTATGTGATTATCACGAAGATATCACTGGGTTCCTTGATCTTCAAGTGTCCTCTATCGCCTTCGTTGGTATATTTCGCATCTAGCCGTCTGAATTATTTATAACTATTCTTACTATGAATAATCTTTAACATAATTTTTATTTATAGATCTTACTGCTGGAGGTGAATAATTTATAAAAAATATTGTGGTTTGAGTAGATACTAAAAATCTGATTCGTTCAAAGCTAAGTGTTAAATATTCATTTAATTTTCGATTTTTGGTAACAAAATTTTATTAGCATGAAATTTATTTGTGCTAATTTTTTTATTAAAAATATTATTTTTACGCATAAAGAAAAACGGTTTTAGAAGATCTCGAGTAACATATGTATATGACATCAAATTATCCATAATAATAGAATTTCGTTAGAGTTTCAAAAATTAAGAATTTAAAAACAGTGAAAACAAGTGGTAAGTATAATCTACACAGATGGTGGCATTTTAGCCAGGTGCTTGTGCTCTACTGGATGCGTTCTGGTAGAGTGAAGATTTTTCTTCTACAAGTGCTGAATTAGATGCAGGTTTTCTGGATGCGTTCTGGTTAGCACATACGGTATATTAGTGTAAGTTTCTTTGTTGTAAAGGCCTACTGATTCTTAACGAGAAATCGGTTATGTCTTCTTTACGTTAACATAGGAACTTATGTATCTCAAGCACTTATCTTAATGAATTTAACTTTGTGAGCCCGTTGGGGACATGTTTGAGAACGCCTTCGATTGGTATATCTCGCATCTAAACTATCCAAATTATTTATGACTATTCTTATTGTGAATTATCTTTTGGTCTGAGTAGATACTAAAGATCTAATTCGCTCAAAAGTTAAGTGTTCAAATTTTCGATTTTTGGTAACCAAATTTTATTAGCATGTAAATTTATTTGTGCTAATTTTTTGTTAAAAATATTATTTTTACGCATTATAGTAAATCGAAAATGTGTACCAGGTTGCACTCCAGATGATCACGAGATGGTCCGGAATGAATGTCTCGAAAATTTTTGAAGGTTTGATTTAGCACACAGTTAATTTGTATACTTCTTTTCATTAATTATCGTTATATACTTCGCACAAATATTACAACACTAATAATATGTATACATTTATGAACATTTAAAAACTTTATATTATTATTAATTTTGTTTGCATGTATTAATGCTCTTAAATTATACATTTTTTTTTCTTTTTTTAAGTGCTTTCATTATAGTTGGATCGACATTTTCTTGAGAAATTTTATGCTTTTTTCATTGGATTGACACCAGAATTTTTGCTCCGCTTCATATTGATTTGGTTTTTATAGTAAAATTTCGTTGACCGTTAATAAAGTTCAACCTTTTCATGTTCTTTCTTAACCGCATAGTGATCTTCGGTATTGCCTGGATTCGCTTAGCCAATTAAGGCACCTCTTAGCTGTTAAGATCCCAAATTAAGCTGTCCAATATTTATTTTTCAGTTTTAACTATTGGCTCAAGTTCAATATAATTGTTTATTTTATAAAAATTATTGGGTAGAAGTATTTTTTGAAGTGGAGTAGGTAAATCAGACAAATAAATGAATCGATTTACATTATTATTATTATTTATTTTTTTATATGAAGAGAAATATAAAGTGAAATGTGAAGCGAAATATAAACCAAAGTGTGAACCGAAATTATGAACGAAATATAAACCAAAGTATGATGAAACAAAATATAAAGCAAAATATGAGGGTAGTTTATTTAATTAATCGATATATCATTAATTATCGTTATCGTTTGGATTAATTTCCGGACAATCATATGATTATCCGGAGCACAACCTGGAGTAATACGAATAGTAGTAGAGTATGATTTAGTAAAGTAGTGGAGCATAATACGTTAAATTAGCAAACTCGTGTGTATGGTTGATGAGGTTACTATTATGTACAAATTAATATATCGTGTATAGTATGCAAACGTATATAAAATTAATTTATTCTTAGCAGCAATTTTCGTTCAATCACAATTTCAATCACTTATATTTTATATGTATACGTCATAATAGAATAACTATTTACTTAATATTAAGTAAGGGATAAGTCATGGGGCATTATTACTTACAAAATACTTTGCTCATCTATAATTTATACAAATTCACACATTAGAGAATCGTACTTTATTTTTCCGATTTACTATTTATTTTTCGAAATGTGTCACTTAACTTTGATATAATGTAATTATTATGTAATAAATAAAAATTTTATTTAAATAAATAAATATTGTATTTAGTATATTTTAAACTTCCAAATTGCCTCCTCTAATGCAAATAGTCTATATTCTACCGATTCTGTTTCTTCATTGTTGTAAGAAGAAACATCATTCTTTGCTTTTTTACTCTTTTTTTTCTTATTCAAGTCATGCAAACTTTTAAATAAAGACTAAACATGTTGATTGATTTCATCTAGTAAAAATATAAGACAATACAAACACTTGAAATCGTTACTGGCATAACAGGATTCATAATAGAAGTGACCACAAGTTAGAATTCCAATTGGGTTTGGGTTAATGGAAAAAAAAACAAGACAGTTAGTTGAATCGCAATAACGAAATAGATCGGGTTTATGTAAAGTATTGAAACCCAAAGAAAGATGAGATAAATGTGCTTCTAGCATTTTTATTGCAGTTAAAGAAATGGATTTCTTGGTTTTTTCTTTTCCTTTTCTTTTTTTCTTTGAAGACGAATCTAGGATAGGTGATAAAAATATTAATGGTGATTTATGATAAAATATACGTATATATATTTCAGAAAAACAATTTAGAAGAAAACAGGCACATTTTTTTGTTAGATTGGAAATATCTCGTGCAGAATACTCATATGCTGCCCATGTAGAAATGTGGGCAAAATTTCCCCTTAATCTATTACTATCCATATGCAATTGATTAATATAACAACTATGATTAATGATTTGCTACTTCTGCGCAAAAAACTATAGAATATTTTGATGATCACATTTGAAAATTTGGGAAGTTCAGCCTTGATAACTTCAAGAATTGGATGATTGGTCAACTCTCAATAGAAAATATCAGAAAGAAACATTAACAGAGCCTTTATATAGTTTTTGTAACTAAACTTAAAAAATAATGTCCAAACATGAAAGCAAGATTCAAGATAAGTATTTAAATCTCCAGACCTAAAAAACATTGCATAAATATCTAAAACAAGGGGAATTGTATTGTTGAAAAGATCCTTTAGGGCAAGATACTTGGCATCTTTACATAGAGATCCAAACTTTTCTTTGACTGTTTTTGAAATTTCTTGCCAAGCACTATGAGAAATCTCCAAAAGGAGATTAATACGCCATAGCTTGGAAGTTTGAGTAAGAGGTTTTTGTGGTCCAAAAATATACTTATACATCTCTATAAAAAAAGGCTGATATTGAAGAAAAACCAATTCTCAGCTATTCAATGAAATATAAAGAGGTCCTATAATTGAAAAAAAAGATAAAATATTATTAGTAATGTTGAATGAGTCTTTATAAACCAAATAGCATGATATTGCTGTTCTAAAATAAATTTTCCCAGGCCAGTCAGTAACAAGAAGAATTATATGCCCTTTTTCAATATACTGCTGTATAGATGGAATACTTGTAATAATATTAATAGCTTCGATATATTTATCCATTGTATGAAGTTGATTCTCTTATAAATCTATAAAGACAACATCTTTTATTGAATGAATATAGTGCTTCTCTTTTAACTAGATATCATAGCTATACATAGTTAACTTTTCTAATTTTGTATTGTCGTTAACTGTGCGAAACCCCTAACATCGGTTATATGAAAGGCTATAAGGTGCTATAAATTGATTTTCTATATAAATTAGCATTGACTAATAAAGGATTATGAATATTTTCTTGAGAGATAGCTGTCTGGTTAGTAATTGGGTTTATTAGTATTGTGGCCAAATTGTCTGCTGCAAATATAGTGGTTGTGTTGAGCATCCGTAGGGTATAAATACTATGATAATCATTTATATTCAATATTATTGCTTTTTCTATATGCTTAGCAAGTACAGAATTAACAATTTCAGCATGTTCTTCAGCCACATTGTCTTAAACCATGCAATTGAGTGGATGTAACCATTATACCTAAATCTGCAAGTGTATCAATAGTAGTATCAGAAACATTAGTTGAATCTAAATACAATGTTAAATCTCTTTTAGTATTATTTACAAATTTATTTCTTATCCCACAAAGAAAATAGCATACAAATAAAAGCTGTTTTTTCACCTGGGTTTGTATTTCCTTATTTTTTGATTGCGGATTAGATAAGATATATAACTCATCAAAAAACAATTTTAGTTTTGCATCTTTCTTTTTCATAGTTGCTTGAAATTCATTAAACAAATATATTACTGGCTTTTTTTTTTATTTTTACATTTGAATAAAATTTTTATCATTGTTTCTATTGTATTAGAAAAAGACAAAAAATTAGTATCATCAGCTTCTTCAACTTCAAATTGCTCCAGATTGTCGACATTCTCAACTTCAGGTTCAGTTTCAAGTTGTTCTGCTTCAGCTAGAAAATATTGCTAAATTTTAACTAAACTTTTCATTACAATTCTATTGTAGCAACTCAAACAAATTGTATTGCCTATTTTAAGATAAGAAGGTAAAGTTTCATTAGCCCATCCTTTTGTAATAACATTTTCAGTTACCATTTTCCAGTGGCTTGACTTTTCTTGCATATAGTAATTATACATGGCCCTGTAATTTTAATATTTAAAGACATTTTGTCTTCTAAGTAAAGTAAGTGAAAAGGCAGATTCTTTTCAGATTCTTTGCATAGTGAATATTAACATTCTTTTAAAACTAAGAATGACTTTTACGGTGATTTTTTATTAGTAAAATGTTATATTCTCAAAAAGTACTCTAAAGTGTATAAATAAGTTACATAGGCAATTGATTTCAGGGTTGGCATTGGATAATGTCCAAATAAATTTAATTGGACATTTGGACATTTGGACAATTAGACATAGTCCAAATGTCTAAATAATTTTTTGCACCTTCAGGTATTAGACAATGTCCAAATAAATTGTAAAATTATTGGACATATGTCCAATTGTCCAATAATTTTATTGAGCAATTTTAATAATATGATGACAAAAGCTTTATTGCTTTTAACTACAATAATAATGTTTACCAATTTTATTTTCATTTCTTATAAACTTTTTTTACTCTTTAATTTACAATGATAATTTATTAATGAATGTTTCTAATTCAAAGTGACGACCTTGGATAATTTATTTAATTTGGTGTGCTTTCTTTTATAATATGCCTTTATTTTAAAATTAAAATTAAAATCAACTGTTGTCATTATTCCTTTTGAAATACAAATTATTTTACAGTTTTTAACATTCTATTTGATTAAACATATTTCAATAGGGCAATACCAAGTACATATATAAACATGTTGTAATTAAAATGGAATTTAAGTTGATTCAATAGTGTGAATATGTACGTACAAATGAAATTAGAGATATTTTGTATTGGTAAATATTGGCCTGAATTAAGTTTAATTTAGGCCAAGATTAAATTAATTTTTTTTTAATATCCAATAATTAATAGTTATTGGGCAGGGATAATAGTTTAAACTATTTTAAACTTTTTTTCTGCCCAATAATTTTATTATTGAGCAGACAAATCATAGTAAGCTGCCAGATAAAAAATATTAATATGTCTAATAAAATTATTTGGACAATTGAACATTGTCCAAATGTTCAAATGT